TTATCTTACTCTTGGAATAAAAGTGTGTATGCATATTTTTGAAAATAAGAGAAGTACCCCACAAATATGGACCTAAATTACAAGATCACATACAAGGGTGATAGTGTCCTTTAAATCCATATATGTGGGGTGTTTCTTAAACTGATACTATTACTATTATTATTATTGCACATCCTATTTCTGTAGAAGCCAATTTCTGCTACTTCAAAATATTTAAATATAAATTAAAAACTAAAAAACTAACTAAGTAAGTTTTTGGATACTCCAGCCAAACTGGATGTGTTGGCGGCCATGCTCTGATCATGTAAGCTACAGTTTTAAGACCATAAATTAGTTTAACACTTCAAACACTCCAGTTGCTGGTTTTAGCAGGCTTTCTAGAACTTTAAATTTTATTTTCAACCAGGAGTTTGTGCTTCGTTATATCTTATAATTACACATCTGATGCATTAATAAAACCCAGAAGATAATTTAACAACACCTAACCCTGGTTTTAAAGTACTTCCAGGATCCTTAAAGAATCCTCTGCCCATCTGGACCAACAAAAATATTCTGTCCGCCATTACAATGTAAAAATGTGAGCTCGAAAAGTTACAGTTTCGCAGCTCTGACTCTCTGTTAAACATAGTGCTCACATATTTTTCATCAGCTTGCTCAGCCACACTGTATCACTTAAAGTGTTTCACTTTTTGAGTGATGATTGTTTTAATGAGATTAGTCCTTTTATAACCAAACTGGTTCTACAGGCGATTGCAGCCATGGAAACAGATGTTTCACATTAGCTCAGTGGTTAGTACTTTTTCCTCACAGACAGAAGATCCTGATATCAGCTCCCTTCTGGCACATTATTTCCAATTTACAGCTTCTCACAAAAACTTATTGCCTTTCTACTTTTTCCAACAAACTGTGCTACTTCGTAGGTTGTGATGCATTTATGGTAATAGTTCCATTCCGTGGTTGAAATTCTAATTTTATTACGTGACTCAAATTTAAACTATAACTACTACACCTGTGTAATAAAAATGATAAAAACTATTTTACCATTTAGAGGCACATGGAGGCCAACTCCTTTTCTAGCATGTAAAGCAGCCTATATGGCACTGCATCCCGTTTCCTCCACGGGAATGGCCCTCGAGAGGAGTTTGGTTTCAAACTAAAGGGATATTTTACACAAAACATTGTTAAAAAAATCTGTTTTATGTTATCATGCCCTGACCAATACACATCGTAAGCAGCAGCGAGCTGCTTTATTGGGGCTGATATTTATCAGTATACAACACAAGATTGTACAACAAATTCAAAGTTTGCAGTACTTACATAGAACAAAAGAATACATTCATATATATACAGTTATATATATATATTATATATACAGTTATCTAATTCTGACAGCAGTAACAAGATAGTTATGAGGAAAATGGTTGTTGTGTAAAAACAAAAACATAAAATAACACCGTCCATGTTTATATCCATTATATTTGGGTGGCAGTAGCTCAGTCTGTAGGGACATGGCTTGGGAACTGGAGGGACACTGGCTCAACACCACCACGGCCCTTGAGCAAAGCACCTAAACCCTAACTGCTACGTGGCCTATCATTCTGCCATCTTTCCACATTTACATGTCCATAAGATTGTATTTCTGGTCTATGTGTGTGTAAAAACAATCAGTGAAAAAAGTTATTTCCCCATTTAGGGATTAATAGTATATCCTGTTCATATGTAAGGACTCCTGCACTCATAACGATGTGAATGTGGAAGGCATGCATACATCTAACTTCACTATTTTATTTTACTGCAAATACTGAACTTTTGCTGATGTATAATTCAATGCATGGTATTTATTTTTAATGGCTTACCACTGCCTTGTAGTACTGATACTTTCATGTTAATGTTAATATGATTTGGACCAGCGGTCTGAAGGATGCATTGGTTTTTACCTTCAGATGAACCAATGCTAGACATGAACAACTGTCCTCTGTCCAAACCTGGACCAGCCCAGCAGCACACAACTCATCCTCCATAGGATCCCTGCACCAACCTCCCTCAGTGGCTCCCCACCTGTGTCTGACCTTGGACCCCCAAGATCTCCCTCTTGATTCCCCTTTAGAGCCTGCTCCAGCGTTTTCCCTCCCTCCTGCCCCAGTTCTTCCTGTACTACCTAACCTCTCGTCCCATAGCTCATAATCCACTAGCTCCATTAGTTTCTCCACTGGCTGTAGCTATCATGTAGCTCTTCTTCTAGCTTTCCCCTCTAGATCTTCTCTTAGCATATCCTCCAACTCATCCCCTGCCTCCTCCTCTAGTTGTTCCCCCAGGATGCTCAACTACTTACTCCTATTGCACCTCCCTTAACTCCCCCACTCACTTTTCCTATAACTCTTCTTCCAGCTTCTCCTCTCCCATAGCATCTGTTGTGCCTCCTTCCCTCACACTTCCTCAACCCCTTCTATCCGAAGCTTTCGCTCTAATTATAACTGCGTCTTTCATTTGTCTTTTACAGAAGAGGGTAGGAGGTGGGAAGGACGTAAGTGTGAACTCTCTAATGCAAAAGGTAAATATACATTTTCTTTAATGTGATATGGATAATTTTGCTGTTCACTGTCACACCCATGTAGGATTAAGATCAGTGCCCACACCCCGACATCCTCAAAGGTCTATTTTATATTATTTTACATTATCTAGGACAGTGTTTGAAATACGTGGGAAATGTATTTGTGGTAGTTGATGCCTGGGCAGGGTCATATGCCTGTTGTTTGTTGAGCTTAAGAGCTTTATTCTTTTTGGTAATATCATGCTCACATGCTGAATTCCTAATAAAGTTTTATTTAATCAAATTGCCACAAACTAGCACTAGCTTTGTTCCAGCGAAGGGGGCACATTGTGCACATTATCAGGTTTAGTTCCAGTGCACCCACACCTGCACCCATAAATAACTTTGCCAATTAGACATAACTCCACAAAACTGTGCTTGTGCAGATCATATTTCTTGAGAGGAATGGTGGGTTGCTGGTGTCTCACAAGAGGGTTCTTGATTTGACCTCTTGGTTCATAAAGACATCCCTGCTGTTGCTCTTTCCTAAGACACTGCACTAAGTTCGTGGAAAAGAGATGTGAGCTGCCTGAAAAAAAAGGCGAGCGCACATACATTTACTGTTTATTTTCATCACTCATAATCATCATTTTTTATGTAAATTTCTCAATTTAGCCCCAGGGTGTGATTACAAAACAATGGTTAATGTTACATAATGAGAGGCACAAATGAGAGCTTGGTTAATGTTAACTAATTTACAGTTGCAAATGTCAGGGAACGCAATACAAAGAGAATCAGTTTTGTACTTTAATGTTTTTTAAAAAAGCAATGAAATAGCTCATTTAACGCATAATTGTTGCAACTTTTCACTTTTGGATTGTCTCTTCAGTCAGCTGCAATATTTATATTATTTTGTTGTAGATTCTAAATATGTACATTAAAAATGAGACAAGTGTTAACAATTAATATCTACTACACAAAATGATTCACTACTTTGTAAGAAAACAGGTCACAATCTGGATACCTTTGACATTCAGTTTCTAAATGTTAAAAAATACCGGTGGTGGAGTGCCACTGTAAATTGATTTTTCAAACAGAATGTGGGAGTGCAGAAGAAACGTAGTGGTATTACTAAATCCCCTCTCTATTGAATCCCCTGCTTCAGTGGTTAAATTAAGTAAAGTGTGCCACCACCTGGACATTTTACTACTTTCTGGTAAGGAACATACAGCAGTGGAGTTTGTGCAAGTCTGGAGTCAAATTCTGCTAACACACGTTATAAAAAAATAATAACAACTGATATTATGGTATAATTTCCCAACATGAAATCCACTGACTTCTACATAAAGAATTTACCAACAACAATGTAATTAGTTTGATTGGTTTATTAAAGAAAGTTTCACACAAACTTCACATTATAACCTTAACATTCTCCATTTATTTTGAATACTTGCTTGAAAAACCTTTAGTGCAAATCATATAGAGGAACTGTTCAGAGATTGATAACATGATTTTAAGTTATTAATAAATATACATGACAATTTACACTTTGAAATGCTACACGCACTTTTCACAGTTAAATAACAGTCTCCCAAACGGTCCTGTACATCAAACACATTGCCGTCTGTCTCAATGAAGGGAAATATTACCAGTGATGGATGAGAAGGCAAACATGTAAAATAGAGGTACTATTACTCTCTCTCTCTCTCTGATACAGGCCAATGGCAAGTTTTAGTTTGCCCAAATTAATATAACTCATTTCAATCATCATAAAATAACTACCCTGTATAGCACTAGATAACCATACTAGTAGCTTATCAACATTTAAATTAAACATTTTAATGTCACTACAGGATTCCAGCAAAAATGACCCTGTAATTAATCTTACATTTTTGTTTGGAGATTTATATATGTTGGAATTCGTTATACACACTTCACACAATAAACTGTTATACTACTGCTTATACAGCAATGATGAAGTGCCTGTATGATACAGATGACAAAGACCTAACAGACTGCACTTCTTGGGGGGAAAAAAAACCCCACAAAATCATATTTCCGACGGCATTTTGTGAAACAGGTGCAAAATAAAACCTACAAGCCTACTGGACTACTGTAAATGTTTCAGGATTTCAGTGAGGCCAGGCACTGGAGCTGGCTCTGTGAATGCTGTTCAGAAGTGAACTCTTATTACTGTTAAAGTGGCAATGATGCATCCAAGTTGTACAGAATATTACATAGTACTTCTGTTTCAAACTCGCAGTGTTTCCCAAAAGTTGAAAACTTATTTGTGGTGGTCTATAACCTCCAAATAATCCAACATATGAGATTAAGCTGCACAGGTGGGGTAAAAAATGTAAAAGAATAAATGTGACACCACATGAATTTATTCTTTTCAATCTGCACTTTAAACCGCAGCTCCTTTTGAATAAGCAAACAAATCAATATATTTGCATGGGTTACCAAAATAAATTCCATAAGTGGGAAAACACCAAACTATGTTTATTCTTCATTGTCTTTATGCCACATTCAGTTATATACATTTGATGGCACATAAATATCATTATTCTCAAAACCTTCATACAAATACATAGAAACCAGGGCAACCAGATTATATACAATTTGGATTTGCAAAGGCTGTAGCATTAAATCTACCAATGTTACATTCACACCAATAATGAAAACACTGACTTCCCTAAAGGTGATCAACAGTGCTGATACCCTTCATAATTTGTAAGTTATACTATACTATACTATAGTGTTACTTCTCTATGATTCTGTAATCTTGCGTTTAGAAGCTAATGCGTCTTCCATGTAATTACACTGGTTATTGTCAATCAGACCAACAGAGCAACATCAGATTCAGTGTTTAAGGCCTAACTGCATCAACATAATCCATCCAAAATTAATGTCGCTGTTGTACGAGCTCACAGCATGCAGTACGAGTTTAAACCAAAAAAGGCCACAGACAACAGATAAGGAAAAGTGCAAATGCATGCTGAAAATGATTGCCACCTGCCATCCTCTCTAAATAACCCACCAAGTATGAGATGAGAGCAGCCTTCCTGCTCAATTCCTCCCACTTCCTTTCCAATTTGTGACATGTAGCAGTCAGATTAACTTCAAAGTGCAAATCCAAGCAGTTGACAGAAAGTTTACCAAATGGAGAAATTTACAAAACTTCAAGCTACTACAAAAGCATTCAAAATACTCAGTTGAGCACATTCACTCACTGCAGTATCTTAAGTCGTTTATCGTACAGTGTGATGCCATCTATGAGTTCATGGGCTTTACAGTGTGATTCAGTCGTCTCCCTTCAGTATCAGTATGACACAAGTATGTTCCACACAGCAGGGTCCTGGAAACAAAACAGAGCGTATATTGAGAAAGATATGGATGTTAGGTTGCTTATAATCATCTGTTTAGGTTTAACATTAGTTATTTTTCACAACATAGCAGTGTTTAGATCTTATCAGCTGTGCAGAATTTATTTATTATAGAATACTGTTCATCTTAAGAGGCTTGATTATCGGAGAAACTGCTTGTAGACTTCCTGTATATGCCCTTTCTGTGTTTGGAATAACATCACTTCATCACTTCATCATCATTTTACAAATGAACTTAAATGCACTTTAACTACCTGGCGATCCGCAGTGGGCTGCTGGGTAATCTTCAAGCCGTAGGACTCTGCTTGGAGCTGCTGGTAACGGCTCCGGATGCTTCCTCTCGGCTCTGGGTGGGAGGCCGCTCATCCTTCGGTGGTGCAGTCTGTTGTGGTTTCACTATGGTGATTTTAATGGGGATCCCTTTGACGCTATGCTGCACTCTGCTGTACTGACGCATGGAGGGGTTGAACGTGCGAACAATGGGAGGTTCATTCAGAGTGGGTGCCTCTTGTTTTGGCTGCATGCTCTCTTTTATAATTATTTTACTTCTTTTGTTTGAAAAGACTGTTTGCACTGGTAGGATGGCGGGCCTCTTAGCAGGCCCAGAAGTCTGCAGTCTCGTTTTATGCTGAGGCGAGGATTGTTGTTTCTCTTCAACCCCTCGGTGCAGGTGTCCATCATTTTCCTTTGTCACGGAGATTCCTCCCTCTTTCCTTTTCTTCACCTCTTTAGGTTTCTTGGGGCACACTGCCATGTGTTTGGTTCTGCTGCGACGCATTGTGAACTCCCTGTTGCAGTGTGGGCAGACAAAGATCTCCTGCTGCGCATCGACTTGTGCAGGCGAAATTTTATTTGAAGGGATTGACTTGTTCCTCTGTGGCATGATCCTTTGAACCAACTTCTTCTTCCTTTTCTTCAGTACCTTGAACTTCACCTTTACTGGTGATTCTTGGTTAGGTTTCGACCTGTTTGACTGGCTCGGTCTGTTCGAAGCATTTAGTCCGTTAGTAGAATTGGTGGTGGACAGAACACCATTTTGAGTTTTTGCAAAATGGCGTAGTGGGATGGGATTCTTTTTGGGTGTGTATCGCCTTTTATCACTGGCATTCGCACACGCCAGGATATGCTTGTGCAGCTCGGGCATGTTATCAAAGCTTTTCCCACACTTAGTGCACCGAATAGCCGTACTAAAGGTTTGTGGGATGTTGTGGGTGGTGAAGTTTGTGGCTGAAGCCACTGATCCAGCGGGTGATCTGTTATGGTAAGGAAATGGTGGGGGCTTAAAACTGGGATAATGTTGATTAATGCCAAGACGAACATCAGGTCCTTTCATTTTGCCTCCATCTGAAGCCATGATTTTTATTGTTGTAAACAGTTCTTCAGCAGCCACATCTACTTCACCTTCTTCCTTTTTCACAAGTTTCTCAGGTTCCTCTGGAGCATCGGGCACCGAAGCCTCTGTATTTACCTTTGTTGAGTTGTTGTAGTTCTGAGGTCTCAATTTTCCCTTTTCTTCTTCTGTGTATGTGCATTGCTGGCCGGGATGCAATTCTTCCTGATGCTGCTTCAGATTGCAAAGGTAGACAAATTCTTTTGTACATGCACTGCAAACGTAAGTCTTGCCGACACCGTGGAGGCTTGATCTATGGTCGAGCAAAGCGGAGGGTTTGCCAAAGAGCAGTAGGCAGAACTCACATTTGTAGGGCCACTCATCAGCATGGTCGCCTACATGGTCACCTAGTTCTTTCATTGAATGGAAAAGCTTATCACACACATTGCAGATGAAATTTTTGGTGAAAGTCTGTTGTTGTGCATCACTTGGTGTGACGTTGGAGGATTTGTCCTCTTCAGCCTTCTCAGATGAAGGTGAGGTTTTAGATGGGATTTCGGGCATGGAATCAGTACTGTCAGCAGCTTCCTCCTCTTTTATGGTTGGTGGCTCTGCGTCAACAGCAGGCTCTGGATCAGGACTTGATTCAGCCACAGCAGGACCATCAGAGATCACTGAAGTGGTGCTGGACAGAGTTACTGACTCTGCAATGGAGGACACAAGAACAGTGGGGTCCACAGTTTGAGGGTTGGGCACCGATACAATCTGCTGCTGTTCTATGTGATTAACAACCATCTGTGAAGGTGCTGGAGGCTCAGCTGTGTTTTCTTGTAAGGTTATTGCAGCAGGGACTACACTCCCCGGGGCTTCGAGAGCTATTGTGCACTCTATCAACACTGTGTTGCTGGTAATGTTGTAAGAGTTGATGAGGGAATCATTTAAAGTTACAGTGGGTGTGAATGGCACTTCTGACACAGGAGTGGACTCCACCATAGACGGGTTGAGAGATATTTGATCAGTGAGAAACACGTGGCCAGGTATGTTTAGAGTCGGGTCAAGAGATTGGGAGAGAGTGACGAGGTTTGCAGAATTTGTAGTGGCAAATGCAGTAGTCAAATCGCACTCTGAAGAATTTAATGCATTTTCTGTGCAGATTACCAAGGGCTCAGGAGATATGTTTGGGGCCAATACCTGGATTGGCCGGCTTGAAGGGTTAGAAATAGGTGATGAAGCCAAAACTGTGATTAATGAAGAAGTAGTGGGGAGCATTGCGTGTGAGGCTGGGGAAGCAAATGCTATAGTGCATGGTGAAGCTGGCTGCAAGGCAACAGGGGTAAGGGAGGCCGACGATGGAGCCAGAGAACTGGGGGGAAGGGCAAGTCCATAAACAAGTCCTTCTGCAACAGGTTCCACTGGGGTAATTATATCTGGACCTGTAACTATGGTGAAGTCGGTGATTAAAGAGGTCTCGGGATTACTGAGGCTTAGATTTTGCTCTCCAATATTCATTAAGGCGTTCTCCACCGTGCATGCATTTGATTTCCCTTCTTTCAAAACTGCCTGTGAAACTAAGTTTAGTGTCAGCTCAGATTCACCTAGGATCTTTTTTTGCAAACTCAGATCCAGCGCTGCATTACCAAAAGCTACATCTTCATTTCTTTTGACTGTATTCGAGAGATCCAGTGGTTGCTGGTTACAGGAATTACCGCCGGTCATGGGGGGCCAGCTCTCTGTCAAGATAGGTTTTACTGCTGCATCCTCTCCAGATGGAGCTGTGTCATCCTTCTCATTGGCTGTCTGGTGCACAGGCGAGCAGTTATGCTGAGTCTCCATCTGTCCTGTGTTTACAGCATCACAATCTGCTGTATCTAGCGTCGGTGTTTCCTCGTTAGATGTTGGGTTTTGCTGCGGGGAGCTCGTTGGAGATCCAGTCCTTCTTTTAAACCTCCCTGTTCCAGCAGGCAGGACAGAGAGAGAGACGGGTGAACAAGGCTTCTGACCATCTGCGATGAGGGCAAGTGTAGGTTTAAGGCCATCCTGCTTCTCCAGGAGCTGCTTAAGCTTCGGTGACAGAAACACTGTTCTTTCCTTCTGCACAATGGTAGACTCTGTATTCTGAGGAAGTAGATTCTCTATTAAAGAAGATACAAGTGATGATGAGGATGAAGACACAACCACCTCGGACTCCAGCTCAGTTTTAATTTGTGGCAAAAGAGGTGGTGTCGCAGTTCTTCTCTTGGCTAATGGTTGTCCAGGTATCTCTTTGCCTGTAACTGAGTCTGTATTTAAAACCTGGCTGATCTGGGTGGGGTCTAGAATCAAGGAATCCAGTCTAATTAAAGTCGAAGACCCTGAATGAACCTCGGCTGCTTCACAGCTACTGACTGTACTTGTCGACACTATCTTTCCATCAATGTAAAAGCTGAGATTCTCTGAAATATTGCTAGACACATCTAGCATGTATTGTTCTGCGTGTTGCCCCTCATTCTCCGGAAGAGCTGCAGGCGCTGTACTGTCACCAACCTCTGTTTGGTGTTGAGATATTTCACTGAGTATACTCTGAGGATTTTCCTCCTGGGGCAGCTGGGTATTTTCTACACGTGTGAGTTGCAGGTGCTGCTCGTGGATCCTGCGCTCATGCCGACGCTTGTTGGTATGTGTAGTGAATATCTTTTCACAGTATTTGCAACCATGATGGTCGTCTGATGCTCCCTGTTTGTCTGGCTGAGCTGTGTGGTCTCCAGCCGACAAAATGAGAGTATTGGAGCTAGTGGGCGATGGAGTATGAAGCTGCATCACTGAGCCCTCTGAATCCAGTGGCTTCGTCTTCTCATGCTGCGACTGACCCAGATTTGAACCGAAAGACACGTCGGTCTTATTGCTTTTGTATGCGTGTGTCTCGCTGTTCTCCAAAGAGTGGATATGCATGTGTCGTTCCAAGCCTTGTTTGCTGGTAAAATGTCTTTCACAGTGCTGGCAGGGAAAAGAGTTCCAGTCTCTCTCGGTATCTTGATCGGGGTGTTTATGAAGCTCTGGGTACAGTGACTTAATCATGTCAGGTTCCGTGTTAGTTTCCTCTTCGCAAATGTCCTCATCCTCCCCCTCCTCCATATCCTCATTGTCTCCAAATTCAGAGATGTACAAGTGAGGAGAGTCCTCCATCTTCTGTGGAGGTTGTATCCAGTTCTCTGCAGGATGTTTTATCACACAGGACTTTTGACAGTTGTCACACCTATTGAATAGATAAAGAAGACAATGTCACAACAAATAATACAGCTGAAGCGCCTTTTAACGATTGGATTAGATTCATTTAGAACATCCTTGTGTAGTCTCATCATTCATACTTCACACTATAATACAAATCAATAAAGACTGGAACCAAAGAAGAATGACTGAAAAAGATTTTCTCAGACAAAAATCTACAAACCATATTTATCTATTTATATAATATTTTTTATTTCTGAGGTAGGGTACAAACTGTGAAAAACAACACATATTTCCTTTTGTGAAGTGAAACGGATGTCTTGGCACCGTGATATTACATTTTTCATCTCACGAATTTGTACACATAATGATACTGTCCAAACCCTTCATCATGGCCATATTGCATCAGCCCTTAGCATCACTGTAGAGTATGCTGTTTCTCATCTATAATATGTTACTAGCCACATAAATACAACCATAAGGACCCTCCATATGATGAGCATTTAAAATAAAAAACAGTAAGTCAACATAAAGGAAAAATTGTCATCACACCATCTTACCATTTTAATGGTCAGTGCAGAGTACAAGGCGTGTTTTGTTGGACAGACGAACTCAAAGGCTTTTCTTTCTGCTGAAAGAAAACCACAAAGCACACATTTAAAAAAAAAAAAAATAAATATGAACCCAGTTCTATAATATAGCATGACACGCTCAAACCACTGAATGATCAGAGGCACAAACTGATCAGAGTGAACAGCTGTGGTGCGGGAGACATTTAGCACAGCGTACTTTCTCTTCTGTCACTTGGCTGCTGAATGAGCCTTAGGCCCGTCTTGTTAACTTATGCTAATGTCCCTCGAGCATATCAAGGTTACATAATGAACCAACCGACTCGGCATATGGACCCACACTTTGCAACACTCAATGTTCTCTACAGCAAGTGGTTTCTTTTTCCTGCGGTGAGTGCAGTCCCAAAATACAGCTAATCTGTCCCCATGATGGACAGCTACCTTATTTATCCTGGTATGGTTACCTTACACCACCTGACTGCACTGAGGATGGCACACATTCACAGCAGACAGCTACCACACGCCCCTCAATCGTCATCAATGTATTCATAGCTACCTACTTAAGAAAAGAAAGAAGCAAGATTAAGTTTGGTGCATTTTGACTTTCATCTACTGCTTGGTGGACAAAATGGCAGGCTCATCATGTGTGCCAGATTTTTCTTCCACCTGCTCCTCACGACTGCATGAGCACTTATGGCATCCAAATCGGTTTTTATTCAAGTGTTACTTCGTGTATTTGTTTGTTAAACATGTTGCTCGTTAAGCACATGTCTTTTTTTTTTTTTATGTATTCTGATTTATTCGTTTACCAGCAGCTGCAGACACGGGAGGAAATGTAAACAAAGACCTTGTAGCTTCTGTGTATACACGTTCATCTTTACACTGTTTCAAGGCAATCCCGTGGTGAGTTACTGTTGCGCAAATAAAACTCAATCAGTCACAATATCACATGAGCAAAACCGAAAAACCGTCCCAACACCATTCAAGGGCCTAACGTTACATACTGAATTATTTGAGCCAGTTTCGTAAAATCCAACTTCAATTTCCATCCATCCGCGCTGCAACAGGCTTACCTATGTGACACGTCTCGCTAATAAAACAGATTTTAAACAAAAACACGTGTCTATTTCACTGTTACCGTTACAACTCGGACTAGCTTCGTGGTGCGTTCACGCTCATCTGCTTCACCTGGTGTGATGACGCTCCCCCGTCCTTGCACCATTGCTAGCTGGTCACACAACACGTCGTCACTTTACTGTTGTGCTACAGAGGCTGCTAGCTCGTCCACTCAAAGGTCAACTGGCTCATCTAAAACAGCCCTACCGCTGTCGTCCAGATACACGAAGCTGCTCGCAAACTGAATCCCTATCACCGCCAACGTCCTGACACAAGGTTTCACTTACCAAGTGAAATAAATCAGCTGTTATCGCCATTAAAGCGTTAACTATATACTGCTAGCTCGCGCTGCTAGCTCGCAAGCCCTGGCTATATTTAGGATGGAATGTTCGACACGACCGTTACGAACACTGACCGTTATACAAAAGCGACCGTTACAGTTTCCGTACAGACTTCTGTTAGCAGGGGAACAAACTGCCGTGGAACGGTTTGAAATGTTCCTCCTGTGCAGGTTGGAGACACTTGTGTGTGTGTGTGTTTCTTCTCTGATGTGCCAACAAGGTTCCGGCGTTCTGATTGGTCACAGAATGTGGATGTCAAATTTGGACCAATCAGCAACAGGTTTGTTAAAGCGCTGAGAAAAGGAAAACTTGGCAGCTGTCACTTTAGACTTATGGAAACATAAACACATTATTGCATTATTATGGCCTGTACAACGTGTTTCATACAAATATTATGCTGTATGTTAAGATATTACAGTTATTCATTGGTTGTATTACCAAGTGTGAACCTGTTATAAGCTTTCTGCAGCTCACTAGTTCAAGGCATAATGAATGTTTTGTTAATGTGAACTTAAAGGGAAAAAAACGAACCATTATAAACTCAGGGCCAGGTATCTTTACCTACAGACTACGTGTCAACACTTTTTATTTGGAGTTTTGGTAGTTCAGTAACTAATATTCTACATTTTCGTTTTAAAATAAATAACGGCCTACATGCATGTGAATGATTAGTTTAAAGCAGTCAATTGATTTGACAAATTCACACGAAATGTATTTGAATTTAAATGATTCAACTTCATAAAAACACACCCATATCGTTTTATTTCCGAAAACCCTATCCTTGCACTGAATTGATTTGACCTGCAGAGGGCGCACTAAAATAAAGAAAAGATAAAGAAGTTCTAGCTTCAGTGCACTTCTGTGGATTCATTATACTGTAACTTGATATATATTTCTATGTTTGCATGGTATAAACATTTTAAAATGTGTAATGTTTATAACTTACTATATTAATGGTGTTACTATTACCAATTGTAATATACTGTATATGTTTTTATATAAACAGACAACCAGATGAACACGTTAATGTATACTTGAACAATATGAACTCTTTATTTGATTCCTCTCATGTTAGTTCATTGGCTATTCTTATTCTGATGTGATAGCCAGGCCATATGTAAATATCCTGAATTCCCATTGTCATGTCTGTTTCACAGCTGTTGAGTGAACAGAAGCCAAACCGAGCTGACAAGCTGGAGATGTATGATGGGCATGACTATGTGCTCTCTTCCCCCGACCAGTTCTCTGTATTCCCCCAACAATCGTCAATTGAATCGCGAGGCACTGGCTCATATAAAGCTCACACCTACACTAATAGAAAGCTACCCCCTGGTTTCACATGGCTTTGTTTCCACCTTCAGAATAATGCCAACATGAGCGACATTCTTTGAGAGGAGCTGTAGGAGTTCACCATACCCCACATCATGTACATCTGTGACATTGCGCAGCCCATGGGTGGTGTTCTCATGGCATGGCATGTCTTTTGTTATATGTATTGTACGTGGGCTGAGTGAGGTTTCATTATCAAACTACATGCCAGACTCCTGGCAGCCATAATGAAAGATCATAAACAACAGGCCTCTCTACCCAGGCGTTTCTGCTTCTCTGTATTCTAGGTTCAAACAACCAAACTTAAAAAGTTTCAGCGCTGTGTGATAAACTGACATAGCTCTTGAGGAACAAAATGTATTAGACAGTATAAGATTTTCATGCATAGTTAATTTAGTTGACCATGACATGTTTATTAATAGCGAGTCGTAGCGCGCCACTCTCCGGGCTCCAGTATGTCTTTCACAGCTGATGGGAATTGCAGCTGTGGAATTATGATGAGCTGCTCATGACTGGGTCTACTGGTCAGACACATACGTCAGATCATCATATAAGCAGGTGCTGACTGCCTGGAAGCCATGTCACACACATGGCTTAGCAGTCAAACTGTGTCATACAGTTGTAATGAGTTTTGCTAGAACTGAAAGCGATGCAATACATATCAGAAACTGTGCTTTGTTGCATCATGGTAGGAAATCTTCGCAGTGGAAATTTTAGTATCTATATATTTTTTAATTTTCTTTTTTCTCTCCAGGTGATGAATTGTTGCATTCTTTTGTTTAAACACCCCAAAAGGTGTACAATTCTTAGAGCCAGACGTAAACTTCTGGGGCTTACCCCAAACCTAAGGTGCTCCAAGGGCATGCTGAGGAGATTTATTTCATTTGTTATGTTGGAGTAGAGTAGTATGTTAATTTATAAGCCATAAGACTGTAATAGATGGCAATATTTCCCCAGTAATAGAACTTTTTAGTTAATAGACTCACACTTTAAGTTATATTAAAAGCCCAAAAGATTCGGGGCTGTTGAGAAAACATTTTTGGCCGGAGTCCCAGCCCTCCTCTCCGCCCCTGTTCTTGAGGACAATTTTAAGAGCACACAGGAAACTGAGTGATTGTGAGAGTAAAGTGAGACAAAGTGTGCCCCAGATTAGAAGCATGATAACGTATCCTGTGGCAGTGGGCACCGGTTCGTGCCAATGACTCTGTGGACAATGAAACATTCACCATCCACATGAACATATAGGACAAGAGAGACAAAGAGGGAGGGAGAGAGAGATGGTCTACAATGTGTCTATGTATCAGGAGGATCAGTGAGCTGGGCTTTGGCATGAAACAATAAGAGGCCCTTATAGAAAATGTGTGCCACACAGCACAGACAAAGCCTTGCTTGTGATGGGACAACATGTCATGTCACTGGGACGAATAAAATTCATTGCTTCATGTCGTGGGATGCCAGATGTGCAGGGAAGAACATGTAAATGTGAACACGCTGGAACACAAATACAAACTGTTCAGTGCAAAAACACATGATACTTGCACACAACTGTAGCCCACTGTACTGTATATTTATGTACTGACAGTACACGCACACACACACACACACACACACACACACACCACACCCATGCAAATAATCCCCTAAAGTCCAATAAACACACATGTGCCCTCCAGAATCACTGCCCCCTCTCACTTCTGCACACATACAAATTAAGAGATGCACCGTGACCCCCATAAAGTAGCATGCCAAATGTAAATATACTGTACACACACACACTTACATACCACACTCCTCTTCCCCTGTCCCTCTCTTCTTCATCCACCCAGCTGTCTGCAGCACTCAAAGCCCATGGGCCTATCGGCTGACACTTATCTTGTGACATCACAAACCCCTGCACTCTATAGGCTTGACATATGGCGTTCTTTGCACGCAAGCAGACCTACATACTGTATACATCACTTCCTGTAGATTTAAAGGAAGCATAAATTACATTTTGTCCAGCACATCACATCCTAGAATAGAATGGTTTTATAAAGGCACTGACTTGAGGGCATTTGATGTTGTCAATCTGTTTCTGATAGTAGTAGTCAGAAGGTCCTGGATCCTGGCCACTTGACGCCTTTTTTTGTGTATGTGTACCTTTACATGCTTCGGCTTCTTCCCCCCATCAGAGACCGTTGAAATGACAGCTCTAAATTGCCTATAGGTGTGAATGTGTCTGCCTATATGAACACTTCTCACACAGAGTAAACTGTGAAACCCAGGAGAAGATCATTGATTTAGAGAATTGATGGACGTTTTTAAAAACAAGAGGGATCCATTTGAGTATTTGGTATTATATAATATAATATATATAATATATAATATTATAATAGTGTAATATTTTCATTTACCAAACACACTGAATACCGGAAACACAATATACAGTTTGTGTTAGTTGTTTTGGTTTTGTGTTTTCATCACTCAAGACATTCTGTGTCACAATAGATGCAGTTGTGCATACCTGATGGGTTTAGATTTACCAATAGGTTGCCCTAATGTTTACTTCAATGTGTTATTTGTAGCCCAGAATAGATATTACAACAATATAATAATAATATAATACTACAATGGATCCAGGTTATCTGTGTTGTGAGATTTTAGCACCTTAACACTAAGTAGACTTGGGACCAATGTATCACTTCATTGCCAAAACACAGTGCAATCAGCCAAGGTTTTTTTGCAAATTCAAATAATGTAGGTAATAATTATAATAAAAGAACCCTTGATATGGAGATGCATTTTCAAAATTACCAACACTATCTCATGGGGTACTTAAAAAAAACCTAATGGATATAGAATGCGGAGCTGAATTTGATTCATTTTTTTAATTATTTGTTTCCTTCCCTTTTGTATTTCTTTCTGAATAGGATGATGTGATTTTGTATGCCTGTAATCTGGTATTATAAACAATAATAATTTTTTAACTTTTTCATACAATTATAGACTACAATGCAAAATTATCTTTCAGGGCTGATAGCCTCACCTGCCAAAAACAAATGCAAGAGAATTAGACTGATGCCTGGTGTCTATTCTAAGCCCTGCATTCGGAAAAACCTCATTCCTCCATTGTTATACAATCTGTGCTTTCTTTACACTGTTAGGATTATAACTTGCTGAGTGGGCACCAACAGTTTTCCTCTTACCAATAAAAATGAGGACCAGTTCAGACCACAGGTTTCTTCTGAGTGGAATATCACAAACCAGGCAGCTCACAGTCAGCGACCTGTGACCTGGTATTTCTGGTTCCCATTGCACAGAGAAAAATACATGTAAACACACGTTCTTCTGTTAAATCAAAATACACCGGTCTGGTTTTATTTAGAGGGGAAGATATTTCCTTATCCGTCTGTCTGCTTGAGCCAAGCAGTTTCTTCCTTTCCCGTTTTTCAGTCAGCTCTAGATGAGCGGGGGGGGGGGGGGGGCTTTTTAAGTGACCATTACTGGAATTTATTTCTTGTGTGCACATATAGGCTCATACAGTACACTGTGTATGTTTTTGCAGATGCAGTACACAACATGAACCCATGGGAATATGCAGGGCTTCCACACACTCAGCTCATACGACTGCACACCACATAAGCAGGCAGTTTTGAGTCTAATAATTAAATATAAGACTTTCCTGTGTGTGTGTACTGTTGAAAGCACGTGTCATGAATCTGACAGAAACTCTGTCTGTGAATCACACACTTTTATGGTGTGTCTTAATAGCTGCTTCTGCTGGGTCATTTTGCTGCAGCATGACGGTTATGATAGGTTTAACATGTGTTCATCTGTACAAAGGGCTCAGAATTAGTGATTTAGGTCTCTTTTAGAGTCTTTCTAAGTATGAGTGTGCGTGTAAATGCACATGATCGATGTTGGGCCCACCCAGGAAGTGACTCCACCCTGCAGCGATGTACAGAATTCCCCCTTGCTGAAGGGGAGAGAGGGAACTGCTGGCAAGCAGCTTCACAGCCACGGCCCATAGCCTCCCCATCTGCCCCTCTCAAAAGACTCCATTGTTCCCAGCAGTCTGAGGCGAGAGAGTGAGCTAAAGAGAGTTATGAAGCTCGCCGGTGGGGCAGAGGCTGGGGAGGTGGGCATTGGGCTGCTGCCTAAAACCACACGGAGGAGAGGAAGCCAGACACAGAGCATCTCTGTGCGACTCGCAGCCTGCTGTTGGAGCCTTGCCTCAGCTTAACAGCACTGTATGAAAAAGTCCACAACATGACATAAAAAACACACCTAACTGTCAGAGGGCTCAATTGACTCAACGGTTTGAGGCCATATGTTCCTCCATATTTGGTGTTGTTTGTCTCCCTGCTGAAAAGGGTTGGGTTTTTTTTGTATTTGAAGCATTACTTGAACGGGCCAATCAGAGCAGACTGGATGCTGCCCGTTTGGATGTGTGTGGATTGCACTTGGAAACAGAAAATAAGTGTCACGAGATTTTAACTGTCACAAGCATTTTGGCCTGACTCAAGACTGAATGCAGTGCTGCTCGAGAATGTGTTGACTTTTAGGTGTTGCCACAGTAACTTCGTAATCTAATTGATAGGAAATGTCTAGGGACAATAAACAGATCTTTGAAAAAGCTATTCAGAGATATTTTCACGCACAAAAGACAAAAGAGAGCTTTCATTTATCAATTTAGTGACATACATTTTAGTGTTTTAAGTTTTTTATTGAAACAGTATGAACAAAAACACTGCAATTAAATTAAAAGGGTTCAGACAAATCAGATGGCACAAATTAAAGACCTAGAACTGATAATATGTGGCAAAGCAGAAGGGAGGAAACAAACACGTGTCGTTGCAAACATTTGCAGTGTCTAAAGCCTATTCATTAAACATTACATCACTCATTCAGTGCACATATTAAACGAGTTTGTAAAGCAAGCGGAGCTAAGCTGAGACTTCATTATTTGTACACCCATTTAGCACACTTACAATTGCAAAAATAACAAAACAGGGCATTACTGCCTGACACTGTGCACTAAAACTAAGTGCAACTATAAAACGTCATCCTGTGCACGCAATTTGGGGTTAGCTCAATTGAAAGACTGGATGGCTGTTCTGGTAATCTAACTATTAACAGATGTACTATGAATACATTGTCAAGATAATGGTATCACTATGTCTAATGACCACTGGCTGTGTGTGTGTAAGCCTTGATAAGGAACAAGCCAGGAGTCATCAAAGCTGTTCTTTTTGGAATGGGTGGCAGTTAAAAGTACAGTCAATTCACATTAATAATGCACTTCAAAAGTTAAAATCCTCCTAACTACCTAGAGAATACCAGAGACAGTGGCACAAACCCTTCTGCTAAATTTCACAGATATGTATTAGGTTTTTATATGTCAGTGTTAAAGTGGGCAGAATGTCACGTTACTCTTGCAAATGAGGGTGCCCTTTTCTTTCTGTTAGCCCCATGCTAGCCCTGCTAGAGCTCATGAGTGTTATGTCAAAACAACTTCTGCACACGGTGCTTCATACAGTTGGCCAACATATCAGGGATTCTGGCTATGTGAGGGAATTGTTTAACTGGTGCTCAGGGGTGCTTTAAAGGTCTGTTAGCCACAACAATAGCCTAAGGCCGCCTGTATGTACTTTGTATTCCATAATATCAAATGCTAGCCTACGCGAACTGCAACATATGAGAAAGTCATTAGCTGTATACTATGTAGTCCCCTTGCATTGTATATACATCCTGTGGAATTTGTAACAGTCTCTCCTGCCTCCTCTCCTGCTCCCACCTTCCTTGTGTATTTAATTTCCTTTCCATTTGTCAGTATTTTACATTTTTAAGCCCTCTCAAACTGCCATGCAAATCTAAATCAGTCATACTTTAAAGGAGAGAGATTTTACCCCTAGATGTCAGATAATCCCCTACTGTTCTTTCTTTCTCTCTATTGTTTTTTTGTTTTTTGAACAAAATGTGTTTGAAAAGGCCCGAAATTCTCTGCAACATCCTGCTGTCACCTTGTTTTGTTCTCTCCGAGGGAGTAGGGGAGGCTTTTATATCAGCAGCTCCTGGGGGTCAGGGAGGTAGCGGGGGAGGTGAGGATGTTTGCTCATGTACCCCTCTTGTCTCACATACATACAGTACATACATAAACACACACAAGCCTCCTTCCCCCTCTTTTTTTGGCAACAGTCCAGAGTCCTGGTTAGATTAGTTTAGTTCTGGTATTGTGCTTGTTTTAATGATGGAAGTGATGTCACAGCTCAGTAGTTCAGAATTTCCAGAACTTTGGGCGCTCCTGCTGCTTGGCCGGCTTTTTCCTCAAGGGCTGTGGGGTGAAAGAAGAGAAAGAAAAAAGAGTAAGTCAGTGGTTGAGAGAGGAGGATTATTGTATCAATCTGAGTTTCAACTTACTGTATTTTAAAGTTAATTAACCTGTACACTTATTTTGTTTAGTGTCATTTCATGGTGTAGCTACAGTTATTTTTTCCACTATGAGGGAACATGGATATTGACAACAAAATGGGTAGGGGAAAAAAGCTAACTTGTTGATTTAAATAAAAGATTAAAGATGTGGGTAAATACACAAATAGGAACAAGGTTTACATAAGAGATGTTTTTATCAAAACCTTAAAAGGGGAGATTTATGTTTTAAAGCTAGGTTGTTTAGGAGTTGACATGATTAGTTTTTGGATTTGCCCCTTTTAGTGTGTAGCTTAAGTCAGCAAAGATCTTAGGAAGATATACTGTGAAGAAACTGTAAATAATATAATAGACCAAAGAAAGACTGGTAATTAGAAAACCAAACAGAAGTTGATGACTTTATGTTGCTGCCCCACTTCTGACAAACACAAGCCCTGTGTTGATATAAAATCTGCTTGATGACCATCGGCCACATAGACAGACACTGAGTCAATAAACAAGCTCTCATTTCAAGGCCAAATTGAGCCACTTGTCACCATGAATGACAGTTTTCCTCCTAGGGCCATGTGACTGTGTGTCAGCAAAAGCAGCAACAAGCATCAAACTCTGTAAGGGGTTTCTGGGAATAAGACATCTGTTAGACGTCTCACAGGAATTAGGATCACGATAGGCAAGGGGTTAAAGTGATTAGCTGAAAGAATCAAATAGAGGAATTTACAGAAACCAAAACGCTCTCTTTTTTCGCAGGTTTTTTGTTCTTGGCAGACCTGTGACACAAGAAACATTCATCATTAGCAAGACATGCAGCTCATGACAGCACTCTCAGAGGGGAGGGTGTGGTTCATGGGAACACTGTCCATGAATGGGACCTCTATCACTCTCATGAGGGTAGACTGACGCTCAAATATGTTTAACAGCGGAGACCAATTATGGTCGAAATACTACGCAGTTTGTGTTGGTCATCTTATCACACAGAACAAATCTCTCACCAAGACCCATTACATCACTGCCTGTGTAATTTCATCATAGGATGTATCAGTGATGACTAAAAGCTCATGCTGTTTCACTCTATATTTAGAGAAGCCAGAGGTGATGACTCACTGCACAACATTAATATAACTGTCTGCAATCACATGGATTCAGTAGAGTTAAAAGTACTTACGAGTATTTGCCCATCCTCCTCACCACGACAATCACCACGGCGATGACGATGACCACCGCCAAGAGAGCGCCAATCACAATGCCGACTACCTGGCCAGAACTCAAGCCGCCTGTGGAACGGAAAGACAAGAGTTGGTCAGTTTGCTTTTGATATTACTATTTTTAGACCAGTGAAAGCACCTTAGGTTTCATGGGCAATTTCCACACTGAAGACTGAATGAAATGCCATATCTATCTATGAGAAGTCCAATAACCAATGAGAAAGAGAGAATGGCATGAAAGTGAAAGAGGGAGAGAGATTTAAGGCCAAACAGACTCACCTCCACATTGCATCTATGGTATCATATTAGTCAACAATAACACCTGACTTTAAACATACATTACAGAAACATCTATCTCACACATTCCTCACCTGTCTCGTCTTCCAAGATCACCTCGTCATTCTGCTCTCCCTTGGCAGCTGTCGTCACCGCAGGAGGGTCCACAGCCTTTGCTGCCTCAGTGGGGGCTGCGGTTTCCACAGCAGGTGGGTCACTGATAAGGGGTTCTGGTGCTTCAGTAGAAGCAGCAGCTGGTGCTTCAGTAGAAGCAGCAGCAGGGGCTTCTGTCTCAACAATGGACTGCTCAGTAATAACCGTGATGGCAGGAGGCGCTGCCTCTGTGGAAGCTACTGTTGAAACTTTTTCAGGAGCCGCTACTGGTTCAGTTGGAGAAGGACCAGTGACAACAGTAAGTTCCTCTTTTGGAGCGCTGGTAGTGTCAAGGGGGACATTTGCTTCTGTCGCAGTTCCCACATCAGCAAGTTCTGTAGGAATACTTGTCGGGCCTGAGAAGAACAATTATAGGTCACAGATGGGTTCACATGCAGGTATAAATGCAGGAATGCAATCTGTTTCTGTGGCTGTGAAGCTGCTATTGTTGTAACTGTATATATTTATTTATGTCTTTATCATAGGTTTTTTGTTATGTATGATGCTGCTGAGAAACGACATTAAATAGGCAACATGTAATTTCCTCTCTGAAGTCTCAAATATATAGGCTACTTACTATACTATAAGAACTAAGAGAAAACATAACAGTAAGTTCTGTGTTGTCATGGTTGTGTTTATATTTATTAACACAGCATTATCTTGATATAGTTATATTAATAGTATTTACTAAAGTCAAGAGTCCCTGAACAAAAAATGTATATTTATCCCATTGAGTTTAGTATTTTCCCAGAACACAATATCCTATATTTTCTCACAATGTATTTTGTTTTTGAGAATTAATGCTGTGACAGATTTGTCAAAACATTACTTGTTATAGTTAATTTAGGCAAGACAACCGTGAACTTCATCATATCTCAATATGTGAACTTAAAACAATATGACAATAAATAAGAATATTGAATGATCGCCCAGTCTTACTATAAACTTTACACTGTTCTTTCTCTCGGCCAGTTATATTCAGTAGCAAGACAGAATGGCAGCTGACACATAAAACGCCCACAGTCTGTCAGGATGGATACAAAAAAGGTCAAAATGGACATGGTAAATATTTAGATTCCTAATAATATGATGACATGACCTTTCCTCTTTTCCATCTTCTCCCATCACCAGCGGCATTACCACCATACCCCATGACTTCATAAAAAGTTCACCCCTCCCCTTCATCCTGTCTTTAAGGCTCTGTGTTAGAATACTGGCATGCCACATCCTCTGCCTCATTTCCTGTGGAGGGAGCTTCTGCTGCAGCAGCTGACGTGAGAGGAGAGCACGGGAAGGCTTGTTAACCCTCAGACACTTAACATGTGCTGCCACTGAAGGGTGGGGCTGTAGGGACAACGCCTGATCATGTGAGGAAACACCACAACTGGATGATTTGCAGTTTTTTAAGACAATCTCAGGAAGAAGTAAATCTTCTGAGGGAAGCTTGATGAAATGGTGGATTGAGCACCTCTGTGTCAGCCACACATTTTGAAAGCATCTACAACTTTACTTTTTCTCTCTTTATAAAGAGAGAGGTGTATACTTATTGTCCAATATCAATCTTGAGTAATTTACAACTTATTTTATTGAAGATTAACATTTAAGATCAAGTTTTGTCCAAGCCCAAAAGACCGTCTGTGCTTGTAATAAAATGGAGGCTCCCATTTTTGTACTTAGCAACCGTATAAAGACATGTATTTACCCTTGTGTCTTTCATCAAGGTCTGGACTATGAAGTGGCCTGGGTTCAACCTAATCATTTCCCTCCAATAACCCTAGCTCCATCTCCCCACGTTCAACATCCTCCCAGCCACAACTGAAAGTTTAGCCTGGACAGCACTGCTTCAAAATTAAGGAGGTAGATTTCAGTGTGGCACTGAAATTACGGTCTACGGTTAACTTTCCACTGACAAGATGTTGGCCTGAAATCGCTTCTTCTCTTTTGGAAAAAGAAACGTTCGTACTCTAGAGACCAGAAACAAGCGTCTATGTGAGTTTTCTAAACTTAGCGGCTGACATCATCCTCTCTCCAGCTCCATTTTCTCCAATTGTTCTAAATACTTGAAATAATACTTTACAAGGGTAAAAATAACTGAATGACTAGACTTCTCTAACAACCGGTGCAGTTATTCCTAGTCCCACGTTGGCTAGCGTGTTCTTTAGCAACAGGCGGGGTAAATATAACTAAACATTTGTTCCCACTGCGGCAGAGTACTGAAAAGGGGTTTTCAAAAGGCAACTCAGACTGTTTGTTTGGAACGTCTGTAAGCGATGATAAAATGGTCTGCTCTTTACAGAGTATGGCCGTGTAATGTGTAATTGTCCCCCCACCCCAACCCCCAACCTCCTCTAACAATTGTTTCATTATGTGTAGAGTTCCCACAATTAGCTCTGAGTACTATTTCCTCCCCACTGTGCTTACGATCCTAAATACAGCCGCATTAGTGAGTAACACAGTAAGATTGTTGCGGTCTACATCCTCTCCTCTCTTTTCCTTTTAATCTACTTCTAGTTTGTCTTCCTCTCCATGACCCTGCCACTCCCTAAGGATAGGTTTGTTGCTGTTGAAACCTTGGAGAAGGCTGAATCCCTGGGGAGAAAGAGAGAGAAAGAAAGGGAGGGCAGCAGGGAAAGCAAAAGGGTGGAGGGAAAGCTCTGAGGGAACGGCTGGGGAGCAGCCCTATGTCCCTTCTGCCGCTTGATTTCTCATTTGGTTTGCCCACAGCAAGAAGGGTGTCTGTGTGTAGTTATTAACATGTATGTAAGTCAACCCTCAGGGGGGTCGGATCACAGGGTCAGATCCAGAACAGGAGCCCTGAAGCTGGTAAGGATTTCTACCAACACGGGGCTTTGAGTCCGGGTCAACACACGATACTCATGCTTCTCATGCGTCTAATGATGACTAGACACATTAGAACCACAGAGCTCAAGGGGCATTGCGAGGAAACTCAGCTCCATGCACCACTCAGCAAGTAAAAACACCGCAGAGTTGGAACCCGTTCCAGTTTCTTTTTCATTCCTTCAACCCGAGACCGAGAAACGTTTACGTAACTGTGGCGTTGTCCTTATTATTCCAAATTTTCGGCGGTGCACCCAGGTCGTTTTACCCATGATTACATCATTTTGACCACACACGCTCTCTCGCTTCCATTTCCATGTGAAGCATGAAACAGCCTGAAATTGTCCTGCCAGTTAACAAGCGTTAGCAAGTGCTGGGGGGGTTCATACTGCACGTGTTTATGTGTGTGTGAATGTAAACCTATGGCTGTCAGAAGAACAAAGGTTTATGGACAACCGGTGCACAAAAACAACACAGCAGGTGATTAGAAAACACGTGGCGATGACACCGTAATTCAAATAATAATGAACCATAGTGGCAATGAATCACACTGGTTTTAAATATGGTGATGGGATGTAGATATACCGGGAGGGACAGATAGGGTGGAGTGTAAACGGCACAAAGGCAAAAAGACTTAAAAGTAAGAGAAGTGGCAAAGGAATACCACAAAAGCCGGGGAGAGAGAGGTGGAGACACCAATGTGGGGCTTCACTCCTGCCTGGCATAAATAAAACCTACAGAGAGAGTGAAAGAGTGAGGGAGGGACACAACGATATACAGTGTGAGACAGGAAAGAAGGGAGTTGCAGCTTCCATCCATTACGATCACAATCAGCTGTCAGCGAGGCCCCCCGTTTGTGTGTGTGTGAGAGAGCTACTAATTCACAGTCCTGTGTAGGAGGGACGGGGTCCGCGCAGACGGTGTGAGGGAGTGTGAGAGCATCCACCTTCGGAGTCCAGGAATGTTTTTGCGATGAGGAGGGAAATGAGTGAGATAGGCGCCCTGCCCATCTCTCTATGATGAGATGCCGCATAGTCTAACCTCCCCCGCTCGACCAGTAGGAGTCAGCTGCGGAGATACTGGGGCGTGCCATGCACTGCACGCTGGGGGATTTTAAGCAGGAGACAGGCTGCAGTGGAATATTCTCAGCAGGTCTTATCACAGACGCAACACAATGAGCATCCACATACACTCATACAGGAACTCATTTTTTCCCCTCCTGGTCTAACTTAGATAGGAGAACATGCAGCAAGTCCCATCTGGACTCTATCGCCCGGGGCAGAAACTGGTACAGCCCTAGCTCAAGTGGGCCTTTAATCTTAGGCTAAACCAGTCTGATTAAATTCCTTAAATGTAATGAATCAGCTCAGGGATGACATGAAATGCAAATAAACAAATCATACTGGGGTATCACTCTGAGCCCTTAGCTCTTCTTTTCTTTTAAACAAAACTAAACGTTGCAGATAAAAGCAGCACTCCATCTATAATTCCATCAAGCAAGCCTCTTAATGTATTTCAAGTCATGTATCTTCTAACCTTCAAATCCAACTCCCACATCATAAAACACCCACCCAGTTGTGTAAGTGTTCCTTAGTCAGCAGCTCTATTTTTTTTCTAACTTTCTCTTGCACCATGTCTCACCCCGAAGCACACGTAGGTGCTAGAGATATGAGACGTTTGTGTCAGTACTCACAGAGGAGACACAGACAACAAAAAAAAACTCCACTGGGCTGTACCCTGAAGCCCTGCTACAGTCTAAAGTCGTCAGGGCTTGGTCCTGGCCAAAAACGCACTCCTTTCCATAAACAGATGTTTCTTTCTCCTTGCGGAAAATTTTTGAAAGTATGACTGGCCGTTTTTCTTCTGAAAACGATACTCAGTTGACGTGAGAAGCGTTCCTTCGTCATGCTCTTTACCCGCATGCGTCTCATATTTGGAGTATGAGCGCAACATTTGAGTCTAGAAGTGGGCACGGACAAAGGGCATTGACCTCTCCCTTCAGCAGCCAGATGTGATGGGGATGTTATAGGCCCAGAGAGGCAGACAAAACTCATTAAGAAGGAGACCGGGTGGGGTGGGGGC